CACGAGAAAGATACATTCATCAAACATGATCTGAAGTACATGAAAGATCCTCGATCGCTCGCAAATAATTCAATTACTTGCAATAGAAAGAATAGATATAATATCGAAATAAATATTAAAGAAAAATCCAATTAAAAGTTAATTTATAACCAGCTAGTGAATACAAAGAATGATAGAAACGTTGATCGTTGTGATGATTGTCCAACCAAATGAATGCTATGCTACTGACATCAAATAAATTAGTTTTAAACTTCCTTTTGTTCTGTAATAATTATACTACTAAAACAAGAATTTGATACATTTATAATAAATATTTGATGTGAATATATGTCAAATTATAAATTATTTAACAAAGAACTTTTATCTGAGTAAAACACAAGCTTCGATTAATCGCGATTAATCAATATGATTTTTTGGCGATTATACGATTAATCGTTCTTTTCTCCAAACATTGCGATAAAGTATGTTTTAATCATTAACTGTTCTGTAAAATATGATTAATCAGTACTTTACGCCGATTTTTTTCAAAATCACAAAAATCGCGGCGATTTTCACGACATGGGATCTTTCATATCTAAAATGTTTTGATTTATCGAGAGCAATATTTTCGTTGTATCTTCGATTCCATTTATATTGTTTGTTACTGCTGATTGTGCTGAAGTTTTTTTCCATGGAGAAGTGCAAGACATTAGTGATGGTAGTGACGGGAATTCGTTTTGCTTCAGCCGAAATTCCGTTGGTTGAACATGATCTTGAGGTACTAAACGTTGTAGTTTGCCTGCTGATAATGCATTTTCAACTTGTTCTTTTAGATTAGATCGATATTCAATTACTTTTTCACATTCACTAGATAACGAATGATAATTTCCATCACACTGAGCACATCGGACTGTATTCGAACATACATGTGTTTGACCGTTAATAAGATTATCAAGACATATTCGACAACGTGAATACTCTGCATTCCTAAACCAATAATATAAAACTAGGGTACAAAAAATTAACAAATGATTTTTACTGTTATCTATTCTTTTGAAAATAATTTTCAAAATTGTATCTCTTGTCAAAGATGGTGCATAAATCGTTTCGTCTGATTTTATTCTGCCAATTAATCCAATATTTAATAACAAATGTTAATTCTATATTCAAAAGATATTTTGCTCAAAATGAATCAAATTAATGATTATTTCAATTATCAAATATAAATATTAATTTATCGATAAAACTAGACGAAATCAAATAAATAATAAAATTTTTCTAATGATTTTTAAATTTAAAATAATTGAAATAAATACAAGATTTTATTATATTGATTATCAAATGATTATGTTGCTGTTAATCTCAATACATATTGAGATTAATTAGAATTTCATATTTATTTGTTCTTACTATTCCAATTAGTGAAAGTATTTTTTTTAAAGTAATCAATGAAAAATTATTTATTTATAAATTCTTATTTTCGAATATAGTTAATTAATATCTTAACAAAGAAATCATTGCTTTTATTCAAATTTCTTTTTACAGAAACAAATATTTAAAAAGAACAACAAAAAAGAAATAAATAACTGCTATGAACATTATTATTTATTCTAATTACTTTTTATCTGGACAAGAAGAGCAAAAATATTTTTTCTTTAAGAAATACGATGAAAGTAAACATTATCAAATAATTTATAATAATTTTCTTGTTGAAAAAAGAATATTATTCTATTGAATAAAAGCAATATGCATATTCGTATTTATTTTTTTTTAGGTATGATAGACGTTCGCTTCGATAGTTTTCTCTCATTTCCTTCTCTACAAACCAAGAATAGTACAAATATTGTTCAATAGCTATTCTTTCTTGAAAGTTAATCAATCAACAAAACGTTTTCACGGAAATCTTTGTTTCTTGTTAATACTTGAACATATGAAATATGGCAAATGAAAATGGTATATTTTACTGCTAGAAACTTCAACAACTATGCGAGCTTTGAATTTTATGTTTTTTTTATATAGTGGATCGAGAAAACATTATTCCGTTCTAAGATATACAAATTGAAAATAATATGAGTAATATTATCAAATTAAAGACAAGGAAATAGTTAATGTTAGGAAAAATGTGCTGTGTGATTCTTATTTTTCACAATCCACGTGTTGTCATTATTTTTAAATTCTCTTCAACAGTGGCAGCGATATTGAAATCGCCTTAGATTAATTTTCTATTTGATTGCAGTATTTTGACGCGTTTCAATTAGGTTGAAAAAAAGGAAATCCAATAGAATCACTTTCATTTTATTTTATAATCTCGAACATTGTATCAACCCTTAGCAAATGTTTCCGTGTAAAAATAGATTCAAATCCAGTGAATACAAATTCGATACTTCTTTTTCTAAATTTCATTTCTACAAGAAATACTTGATGTATTCACAAATATTCTCAGACTATTTCATGTTACTCTAAGAAAACTTTATCAAAGCGATAAAAGAAAAACATCATGCATCAGTTTGATAGATCATTTTTTAATCAAAAAACAAATAAATGTGGAAACATCGAATTCGCATCCGACTGTTATGTGTACTGCAGAAACTGAGTCGATTTATATGTTTTGAATAATTCTGAGAAAAATATTTTTTTTTAAAAATCCCTTTCCCCCCCCCCCCTCAGGGATGGGCTGGTCAACAGTGACACTTTTTTCGATAACTCAGCTATTTTTCGACGGATTCTTCTCATCTTCGAACTCGACTGAGATATTGATGAGATCTCTCTGTGTACAAAATTTCATGACAATTGGATGAGGCTTTCAAAGGTTATTGTGTTAACGGCCGACCAGACACACCCACCGAATCTAGAGTGAACTCACTTTTTGAGTACACAGAAAAAAAAGAAGAATGATATGAAATTCACAAATTGATATCTATATTTTGAATTCGTGCGACTTCAATCAGATTAACAGTGGGGCTAATGAATAAAGTTTTCTTGATGAAGAACTTGTGAAGATATTTTATATGAACATTAGTTTACTATGCCATCTAACTGATCTGTTCATAAAAATCATGACGACATACGATTTCAATTTTGATTTATCTTTTGTTTTAAAACAATTTTCTATTTGCCTTCTGTAGAAAATTACAACATCAATTTTCATTTTGTGAACGATAAAATATGTTGACAAAACTGAGTATTTCCAACAATGACATAACTAATTTATGTTAATTTATTTATTGTCTTTATATTCAAGTGAATTATGATAGTTTAGTTACCAGTATGTGTTCTTCCCGTACATCCCAAATATTTTCATAAATTACGATCAGTTGAAAGCTTTTCTTTCGATAAATTTATTACCATTGTCTGTCATTTAAATGATTCATTCTATTTGTTTGGTCAACTAATGTAAAATATGATCTGAGTTTAGATAACAGGAATAAGTGTCTATTTATTACTAATCATAGAATCAATTTTCAAATTCACTCTCAATTTCGTTGATTGACTTAAATTAACATTTACAATATTTCAGTTTAACCAGTAAAACACAAATCCAATATCGATAAAATCTTTCGTAAAAAGACACTGCTTCTATCAAATCTAATAAGTTTCGATTTTCAATTTTTATTAGAAAACTATTGAGTAAATTCTAGTCGAGAGATTTTTTTCGTAGAATAAATTTTGTGCGATTGTTTGTTAAATTATTCAGCTCCTTTCGTTTACAAAAATTGTCAAGAATCATTGATGAAAATAATTCTTTTTTATGACGCTATCACCTCATTTCACAGTAGGAAATTATTATTCTAAAATACATTTCCTCTATGAAAAAAAAGATCAGTTGAGAAAAATGCTTGATCGTTAATGAATTCTTATTTTCATATGAAACATTTTATTTTTTTGTTAATTAAAATATCTAAACGTATTTAACGAAGGATTGATCAATATTGATTCGTTTGAATATCAGAAACGAAATTATTTTCGAAGTACAATTATACAATGAACCAATAAGCGATATTCACGAGAAAATTCAATTATTTGACCGACATTATCTCTCAATGAGAAATCTCAATTTTTGACCGAACTAGAAATTTCCGATCTTCATACTTGTTGAATACAAAATGTTTCCTATTTTCGAATATCCTATAATAAGTTGTTTCTACAATGTCCTATCTGAATGTTTTACAATGTTTTTATTTTTCTGAAAATACCTACATTTAATTACGATTTCTGAGCATTGGTCACTCAAGTCTGTTGCATTCGTCTATGAAATTTGTAACATGGAAAGCATAAAATATATCTACTAATATAACGATATACGATCTATCGCTATATATCAGTCAATTTAAAGAACAATCTATTTAAGATTGATTCCACAAGTAAATATGTGCATTTTTTCTGATGAAATAAAACGATCAAATCACCTTTTTCAATTTTGGAAAGATCAGTTCTGCAAAACGTTAATGTCTTGAAATTTTCTTTATTTTTGTAAGTAGTTACTTTTGGCAAAGTAAAAGTTGCACATTTTAACACGTAAGCAAGACGGTTCCGAAATGGTTTTCTCTCATTGGACATAAAATCGATTTCTTTGTAGACCGTTCCGATCGGCAAAAGAAAAAACTTTCTTTTCAGTCGTAACAGTCATTCTCTATTTTTTTTTCGATATGGATATAAGTATTTTTTGTATTATTTTTACGTATATCAAAATTTGTCCATCACTAGATATGTGTGCTAGCTTGAAAAACTCTAAATTTGCACAGAGAAAATTGCGCTTAAAAGTTGTCGAAGTCGTGCTTTTTGTTTTCAACCTAGATTTTGCAAAAGAAAAAGAATGTCTTAAGGGTAAAGAAAAACTAAATGTTCGACTGTTTCGAGAGAAAATTTGACTAGAGCACAACGAAAAGGAACAAAGTTTAAAAAATTGAATTCTCTTCAATTTAATAGTTAATTTGTTGTTTTGAAGTAGAAAAAAAGGTATGTGGCAGTTGACTGAGCTATGAAACGATATTTATTGTCAATTATTTCTCTAAAATTTTTCTGAAATGTTTTGCTTAAACAAATGATTCTACGTTTTATTTATGAGCAAAAAAGAACAAGTATTTCGTTCTCTATTTAGTTTGCCAATAAATAATAAAACTGAGTATGAGATGTAATTATCAAATATCAATATCATTTTTGTTTTATATGCCAAAAGCAAGAGTCCTTTTTTTTATTTACTCATTGTGTTTTCTCGTAGAAGTGTTAAGATAAAAAAATAAACCAAATGTATTTCTATGGAAATCATGATCAATAGTTTAAACGTACTCTTCATAAATAATTATCTATATCTATAGGTATATCATGATAAAAATGATTTTTTTCCATTGAGATTATCAAAGAAAAAAAATTACATTAAAATTAATGGAAAAAATCTATGGAAATATAATCTGTATATAAAATAAAGTCAAGAATTATTTATCAATTGGTTTTGAATGTAAAATAATAATAAATAGAACAACAAACACAATCATAAAACATCGACGTAAATAAGCATTGGCTGAATTAATACGTTCTTCAGTTTTATCAAGGGTCAAGTTCTATGAATAAATACTTCATTATCAATCAGTTTTTTTTTCTTTGCATCAAAATAATAATTTAAAATAACTTACAGTTTCAGAAAGAGATGAATCCATCAGCAATCGTTCAAATTGATCAATGTAATACATCGTTTTACTTTCACTTCTTTTCTTATTATTAAAATTTTTTTTAATACTATTTCAAATATATATATATATATACATAAGCGATCGAGGTGAAACGGTGACGACGACGACGACGACAGCTTGGTTACATACTATGAGTAGGCATGTGCAAAATCAAAAGCAACTTATGATTAGATGAAAGAAAAAAAAATGAATTGCATGAAGAAAAGAACGAGAAGGAAATGAGAGAAAACTATCGAAGCGAACGTCTATCATACCTAAAAAAAAATAAATACGAATACTGCTACATATTGCTTTTATTCAATCAAATAATATTTTTTTTTCAACAAGAAAATAATTATAAATTATTTGATAATGTTTACTTTCATTTTATTCCCTTGGCAAAAAAAACATTTTTGCTCTTCTTTTCCAAAGTAATTAGAATAAATAATGTTCATAATAGTTATATATTTGTTTTGCTGTTCTTTATAAATATTTGTTTTTAATGAAAAGAAACTTGAATAAAAGCAGTGATTTCTTTGTTAAGATATTAATTAACCATATTCAAAAATAAGTATTTATGAATAAATAATTTTTCATTGATTACTTTAAAAAAAAAACTTTTACGAACTGGAATAGTAAGAACAAATAAATATAAAATTCTAATCAATCTGAATATGTATTGAAATTAACAGTGACATAATCATTTGATAATCAATATAATCAAATCTTGTATTTCTTTCAATTATTTTATATTTAAAAATCATTCGAAAACTTTCATTATTTATTTGATTTCATCTAGTTTTATCAATAAATTAATATTTATATGTGATAATTGAAATAATCATTAATTTGATTCATTTTGAGCAAGATACTTTTTGAATCTGGAATTAACATTTGTTATTAAATATTGGATTCATCGGTAGAATAAAATCAGACGAAACGATTTATGCACCATCTTTGACAAGAGATACAATTTAGAAAATTATTTTCAAAAGAATAGATAACAGTAAAAATCATTTGTTAATTTTTTGTACCCTAGTTTTATATAATTGATTTTGACGATGTATTTCGAATAAGCATACATAGAAAGAAACATAAATCGATGAAAAATAAAATGAAATCAATTTCTGTAGAAATTCGATCTTAACGTTTTTATAGTGTTCTTTTTTCTGTCACACTTGAATTTCCATAAATATAACACGATTTAATAATATAATAACAAGTGGTCCATAAACAATGAGGACATCAGTATGTCTCTCAATAT